GCTGGATTTACTGGATAGTGCGTACGCGAACAGGACTAATAATCGATACTTAATTTTAAAAACTTTTTATTTTGTATTTTCAAACACATGTGTCACCCCGTATATAGCTACACTTCCGTCACCGCAACAGCCGCGTCACTTTGGTTTCCGCCTTTACAGGTGTCAAAAATTAGCTGCTTATTAGCATTTACTTAAAGTGGGAAAAGTGATTTTTATCAATAAATATCAAGATAACAAATGCTTTCCGTAATAAAATGTGCAGTAATTGATGCTTTGTTAACAAAATAAGTTGAAAAGCAAACCGGGCAGTTGTATACATGTGTTTATTTTGCATGTGAAAAATGTGAAGCGCAGTGAAAGTCAGCACGGCTACACGTTAATCAAATACAAAATTTTTAATTAAAAACCAATGTAAACGAAATTTTTGGTTCATGATGCAATTCAATTGCGCATTTTCTAATGATAATAACAAAAAAGCTCATGCCGGCAGAAATATTTAAATGCTTTTTTAGCGAGTGAAACGAGAGTACGTCCAGTTTGCAAAAAAGTGTGAAGTTATATTGAAATAGTGTTGGTAATGATAATTTTCTTAATAAAATTTCTAAAAATTTTAGTTCCGGCACTGCTTTTCATTATTTTTTTTTTTGTATGCAGTATGTTATGTAATAAAAAAGAGATTTTGTTATAAAGTAAAAGTATGCGCAAATTTTGATCGATGCAATAAAATAATGATTCTCTTTTTAAAGTAAGCAAAATAAATAATCCGGTAGTGATTTTATGTGTTTTGGAGGTTAAACTTCGTATTGGATGTTAATAAGTTGCATGCGTCTTTTGGACGCTAATGTATGTATGTATAAATGCGAAACAAAAAAATTTGGGAATAAATAAAAAGGTGAATGACAATTTAAGCGATTAATAAAAAATTGGTAAGATCTACGAGTATCTATTTAAAAAAAGTCATATATAATAATTATCCCAATCATCAAAAAAAACATTGGATAAATAAAATTTGCGTATAATAAATATGTATGTCTGTGCCAAATTTCCATTATTATTTGTTGTAATAAAGAAAGCCTGTGTGATAAAAAAGGAGTTATTCCATTTTTAGACCAAAATTTAGTTGCAGGCAGTGTCTTTTGTGTAATTTTGTATATGTGAAATGTTAATTAAAAAAATCGGCACTGAAGAATGCGTTAGAAAATTGCTGTTTGCTTTGGTTGCCATTGATGGGCTTTTCTTTAATAATATGCTTAGTGTTATATAAAAAAAAATATTAAAAAAATGTGTATGAAAACTTAAGTGACCACAACGAAACTGCAAATTTTCCTGCAAAATATGAAGCAATTTAAAATCAAATTCATTGGGGTAAGTCATCTTTTTATAACCACAGTATTTAAACACTTCTTTCGGAACTTAATTTTGCTAAAAATAGTTAATTAAAAATTTGTACACTCTTAAGTTATTATTTTTTCGCTACGTATCTAATTATTTTCACATACACTTATGGTCCCGCAAAACTTACCACGACTTAAAAAAATAGGTAGAATTTTGTAAATTAATAAAAAAACAGCGTGAGTACCAGCTACTCATGAAATTTGTTGTCGAAGATATCACATATAAATTTTGGTCCCGATGGGAGATGATTAAGGCGTGTCGCACAGGGGGCAAAATCCAGATTACGCTACGAAGGCGTCTTAACCGACTCCAATCGGGACCAAAATTTTTATGTAATATCCTCGACTTTAGTAGGATCGATTTTGGGTATTAAATGAAAAAATTTGTTTTAATTTTTTTCGTCTCCAAGGAGCATTTGGCTTTTGACACCATTGCGACACGCCTTAACCGGCTCCAATCGGGACCAAAATTTATATGTGATATCTTCGACTACGATACTACCGATTTTGGGTATGAGTTGGCAAAAATATTCCTTTTAATTTTTTGAGTCTCTATATAGGAATCTGAACTTTGGCCTCTGTGCGACACCCCTTACCCGT